CTATTCACAGTAGCCAAGATTTGGGATCATCTAGGTATGATCCTTCCGAAGATGGATGGATAAAGATGTGTGTGCGCACATGTATGTTTTTGTGTATGTGTGCATGTATGTTTGTGTGTGTGCATACACATGCATACAATGGGATATTATTTGGTCATTAACAAGAACAGTTTCTTGACACTTGTAGCAAAATGCATGGAAATTAAGATCTTTAGGTTAAGTGAAATAAGCCAGACACAGAAAACTGTGTTTTCTCTCCTCTCATGTGTGAAGGTTTTAAAAAGTCAGTCTGGAGCAGGTATTTAGCCTAGTTATTAAGACTCTAAGGTTCCCACACCCCACATTTAGAATACCTAGGTTTGATTTCTAGATATAGCTCCATCATCTGGGAGGTACTAGGTGATGACCTAAATACTTGGGTAGAAGACCTGGGCTTCATTCCTGGCTCCTGGCTTCATTCCTTGGAATTGTGCCATTGTAGATCTTTCAGGAATGAACTAAGTGAACTAGCCAAATGGGAGCTTTCTTTCTCTCTCTCCCCCCTCCCTATTCCCTCCCTCCTCCTCAAATAATATTTATTAATAAAAGTAAAGTCAGTTTAAACTTAAGAAATGACTACTAGAAGTTGAGAGTGGGAGTTTGGGTAACACGTGCCAAGACACAGATCGCTGGAACGAATAGGTGTCTTTTTCTTGAACGGCATATAACTGAAATGCTGTATAATTTTGTAAGTGGAAGATAGGCCTTATAGTAAAGATCATAAAAGCAAAATGCCAAGAAGTGAGCTCTGACGTGTGAATCATGGTTTTCTGTCCATCTTGCTTTCCGTGTGTTTATTTCTCAGGATTTTCCCTCTTTAGTAAGCCTAGTGTGTAAGGCTACAGGCTCTGTAGACCTCCTTTGGGCTCTTCCACCCTCATCCTTTCCTGTCTAGTCAGCAATACCTGTTATAGTAGCTAACAGGTATTAACTGCTTCCTGGTTACTCAGCAATAACTGCACTGAGCATTGCATAGCTATTAAACTTGTCACTTGAAGTGGCTTGTTTAATTTCTTTCCACCAGTGGAATAATGAGTTATAGTTCAGTGAGGTGAACATAGGGATAGAAATACAGAGTTTATTGAAATACTTTCCAAAAGAAAAATGGGCCAATGAGAGAGTACGTGGCTCCCTTGCTGTTCGGGAACTTTTATCCTCAAAGCCAAAGCATGTTGACCATTGCTGACCTCATGATTGACATCTCAAACTTGTGTAACTTTCAGATTCCTGAATTTTCTGGTTTGGCTGAATTCCCATGTTTTCAGGCTATTTTAAAAGCCAGTTAAATCACCAAGTGGGTGATCCTAGACAGCACCTGGATGGAGAGAGGGATTCTCTGGAGGATGGTCTTACACCCCTTTGTCATTCATGTTGGATTATCTGCCTCACCAACTCATTTCAATATCTTACAGCTCCAGGAGGCAGACACTGCTGTCACCCACTGCTTATTCAGATAGGGAAACTGAGGCACAAAAGAGGTTACGCGACTTGCTTGAAAATGACACTACTGGTAAATAATTAACTGGGATTTAGTCCCCGGCAGGATGGTGGCCAAGTTTTCATTCCCAGCTGCTTCAACATGACTGACCTGGGGTCATAGGATTGGGCTGATGTTGTCACAACTTTTCTGAAATGCAGTTTGTAAAAAAATGGGATTCGGTTTTTCAACAGTTTAGGAATAGTGTTAGTATGTGTTGGGCATCTGGGTTTCTACCCACCTGTAACCATCTACCATCCAGTAGTTCATGAAAACATTGCGAAAAAAAATGATCCAAGTCTCCTGACTAACTAATTATTAAAATACAAGCTTGGAAAGTCTGGTGCTTGGGTGCTTATACCCAAAAAAGGAAGAATCAGTTTTGTATTAAGACTTGTAAATGTTCTCTCAAGCTCCACAGTAAAGCTAAATTAAGCCCTGCGTTGGTAAAATTATAAACCTGCAGTCTGCTTCAGATGAGTAAGTGTTTATAAATAGAACAATTGGTATACATGGCCTTAATGGTTTAACTTCCTTGTACTCTGTATAATGTAAATCAACAAATGCGAACATTTCCATCTCACATAAATTATCAGTCTCAGAAGAGCGCATTGTAGTTTTCAATAGTTGTTTCATAACAACTAAGATTGCCCTTTTCTCCAGCCTGATTTTTTTTTCTTTCTATATCCAGCAGTATGAAGGCCTAAAACCCTTAGTTAGAGAACAAAGTGGCTTAGCAGTAATGGAGCGTGTGTGAGGCTAAGAGAAGCATAATGAACACTCCCTGTGAGCTTCCTGCCTTGATGCAGGTGCAGGAATCAGGAGGTCATAAATAATGCATGACATGCAGATTAGGTGGTGGTTTCTCCTACTAGGGTTTTGACTTTGCTACCTGTGTGTCTGCTTTATGTGAAAAGATGGCAGGCAGCGGCGCAACGTGGCACAGTTTAGGGACTGAGCTCACAGATACTGCATGGCTTTTTGAAAACATGAATTTTAAGAAATGGGTAAAGTACAAATGTCATGGCCCACTTTCCTGGGTTAAGTGAGCTCCGAGTTCCAATGTCCTGCCTTTACAGGGGAGGCGAAGGCTTTCCTGATTTGCCTTTTTAGTTTAAGAAAGCTGAAATTCTTTGGCTGTATCCACAGACTTAGAACTTCTCCTGAGCCTTCCACGGAGTTAGCTGTCTAAGTCGGCAAAAGCCGTGCCTTAGTAGCCAGTTGTAGTGTTTGCTCTATGCAGCAATGACAGTTTCCTTAAAAAATATTAATACCTAGAGAATATTGAAATTCTAGATGAAACAGGCCTATTTTTCTCCCCTGATGTATGCAGTACGTGATATCAATAAGAAAATAAGTCTGCCATCAGAATTCTCCTGGTGGGATTGTTATGATGAAAAGAAATATTTTCTACTGTGAGGGCTAAGGAGAAGGCAATAAAAAATAAGTAAGCATTTAAAGGATAAATAGAGTGAATTACTGAATTGTGAGTGTTTGGCCTGATGATTTCTAGCGACAGCGACATTGTTTAGGCAGTTAGGACTCCCAAATCCTGGTTGGGGGGCAACGTTTTGAAGGGTTTCCTCTAGTTTTCCTTGGCCTGGCATCTTTCACTGCAGGAAATGGTTTTTTTTTTTCTTCTGATACCCATTTTGAGGATTATAGTTTAGGCAGACAATGAGAAGAAAATTAGTCTTGCTGCCTGTTGTATAATCCTTATGCATTTTTGTTGCATGGTTTTCCCTTCTCTCCCCAATTTGGGGTACCAGAATATGAGCTGGCTTTCATTTCTAGCTGAGTCTGTCATTTCCGCTAGGCCCCAGTCTGGCTGGATGCCAAGACCAACAGGTGATCCTTATAGCTGCAAAACAGCAGGAAGTGGGCCGTGCTTGAATGAGACAGTTCACCAGAGGGGCTGTCTGGCCTTTCTCCATCTTCCTGCATAATTAACACCCCCTCCCCCATGCAGAGCAGAAAATCTGTGCGGAGCAGCTCAGCTGCAGAAGCCATTGAGAAAGGCTGTGAGGAACAGAATGTTAATAAGGGATGTTGGCAGAAAGAAGCCCTAGGGGGTGCAAAGTGCAGTCTAGCCCTGGGTGTAAGGGAAGACTACACACTTGGCCCTTAGGAGGGGCTGGACTCCTTTTTCCTTGCAGGGCTCCCCATGGAGAACCAAGCTTCCACTAATTCTTGGGGCTGTAGGTTCTACCTGGACCTGCAGACCAGACGTGTTCAAGTGCCCGTTTTCTTTTTGATGAGTCTCGTTTGAAGCTTAGAATGAAGCTAGCACAAGCTAAGGCCCCCTGGAGCTCAGAGATCCAGGGAAACCTGAACACCAAGGCAGGAAGGCTGCAAAGAAGCCGGAAGAAGGGCATGTTGTTTTGCCCAGGGCCAACTTCCCAGGAGGTCGGGGCTCAGCAGCTGACCCCTGACCAGCAGACAGCCGCAGATCCTTTAAGCAGATGACTCCAGTTCTAGAAGCTTCTGAAGCTATCTGGCTGAAGTACTGAATTGGTTGAGACTTCCTCAAAGCCAGGCTTGGAGTATGGCTTGTGGAAGAAAGCTTTTCTCCTGTTGGTACCCAGCCGCCCCTCCAGCTGCACGACCACCAGCTCCATTTCTGGACACCTGGCTAAAGTCCTAGGATTCTAAATGTGTAGATAGTGAGTGAAGAAGGGGACTCTTAAAACCAGCTTGGTGTACCCCTTTTTCAGGGACTGGTACACAGAAAGTTAAGCGAGGGAAGGCTCTGAGTGCCCTGCCTTTGCTGAAAGTTCATACCGCCCCCCCCCCCCCGCCCATCCCTAGAAGGGATTAGATCTGTAGTCACTGTTGGACTGAATGAATGAATGAATGAAAGTGTCAGTTAGCAAAACAGGGCCTACTTTGGGAGCTCTGATAGTAAACTGCACATCAAACCTTTATAATATTTTTTTTTCTTTTCTTAAAGATGTATTTATTTGTTCAAAAGGCAGAGTTAAAAAGATTGGGGTAGAGACCTTCCATGCTCTGGTTCAATCCCATTGGCCAGGGCTGGGCCACACCAAAGACCTGGAACCAGGAGCTTTTCCCAGGTCTTCCACATAGGTGCAGGGGCCCAAGCACCTGGGCCGTCTGCTGCTACTTTCCAAGACAAAGCAGAAGGAAGCTGAATTGAAAATGGAGTAGCCAGGACACAAACAGGTGCTGATACGGGATGCCAGCTTTACAGGTGGCAGCTTAATTCACTATGCTACAATGCCAGCCAAAACCTTTGTGGTCTTGAGGGTGGTAAATAAAGCAGAATGAATACAGCATTGCAGGTACTGGGACTTAACTTCGTCCATTTTCTAAAGTAATCTAGGAATCTCAAAGAAATTGTAAAACAGATGCAAAAAATTGTAAAACAGAAATTGTGAAACAGTATTTTTTGTTGTATTTTTTTATTCACTAGCGATCAGAAATATGCTTTGTCAGTAACGAGCTTTCTCTGATCTAACTACAGGGTTCATCCGTCCCCAGTATCAAGAGTCCGGGGAAATCGAATGAATAATCAGAAGTTTGCTTGGTGAGTACCCAGTTGTGACTATTCTTAAGTTGTGAGTTACATGCTGGTTTTCTGGGGTAATTTGAGAGCTATGTTCCAAATTAAAAGAATTATGCCTGCTTCTCTTCAGAGAATACATTTCTCAAGTTGAACATGTAATGTCCATCTCATCTGAAACATCCTACGTAAACGTGATAGAGTTCCTTTCTAGCCAAAACTAGTTGTGTGGTATGAGAAAGATGATGCCAAAGTCTAGGATGTATTAAGAAGTCTTTCTTACCAGGCTTGGTGATGGTAGGACCCAGTAGAAATTAGCAAATGACAAGTCCATGTGGCAATCCAGTCTGAATTGAAACTCTGAGAGGAACAAATGGTCATTACCATGAAATGCATCCATGACACTGAAGACGTATGTCCCAGCTTCCCCAGCAATATCAGTTATCCTAACAGACATGAGATGAACAACCTGGACACACTAACGAAGCTGTAGACATTCACCTTTCCCTGGCTTCTCTGCCCACGCTCTATTTTCGCTAGGCCTCACCTCTCCTGGAACTGTTGAAAGTACACCAATTAGAAACACAAAGCATCTTAGCATTTGTATTTTCACTGACTCGCCAAAGCAGTGAACAGAGGGTGAGGAATACAGACACACAGGGGCCATGCTCAGGGCTGCCTGTCCTAGGAGTCTGTCTGCGGGAAGCCAGAGAGCAAGCAGGTTAAGAGTAGGTGTCAGAGTGATGGAAGCACGTGACCTAGAGAGAACCGCTCCCTATCACGGGTCTTTCTGGGGGCTTCAGAGAGAAGTGCTTCCACAGCAACACAGTGCCACCCCTCTCGGGTTCCAGGTGGTGATAGGTGCATCAGAGGTGGGCAGAAAGGATCATGGGGGTGGTGGAGGCATGGTTTCCAAGCTTGTGACCCTGAAATAACTGCCTGTGACCACAACAAACTCTTCCCCACAACGAGACCCCACATTTTTTTTCCTGGCAGATATGAACCAGTTTTCTAAGGTTGTCAAATGTGGCCGTTTAAAGAATGTTTCCTTCTTCCAAGACATGAGAAACCTTTTAGTGACAGTTAGCCACCATATTTTCCTCAAATACAGACTTGAAATTTAAAAATACATATTTATTTACCTATTTCTTTGAAAGGCAGAAGGGCAGAGACAAATGGCTTTAATCAGTCAGGCTGCTCCCCAATTTCCTGAGCCAGACAGAGCCAGAAGCCAGAAACTCAGATGGAGTCTCCCTTGTGGGTGGAGGCACCCAGGCACTTGGTACCATCACTTGTTGCCAAGGTGTGTTGTCCGCAAGCCAGAATCAGCACTGCGGTGGGGAGTACCAACATCCTAAACAGTAACCACTGTGCCCACGGCTGCCTTCAACTTCAATATCTGAGGATTTTCACAATGCATCCATTTCATTAATTTTGATGGTTACTTTTTGGATGATTTTTAAAAGTTTTTTATGATACGTTTCCTTAGGCTCAGGGATTTCCCCTTCTCACGTCCCCATCCCCGCCCACAGATTCCCCCCACTGTTACTACAGTAGTGTAGCCGTTGCTTTCTCTGCTACATCCTCAAGTGCCCTGAGATTTTTGCTTTGAGAATGATGAGCATCTTCTTTGAGGTCAGCGTTGTGGCATAGCCGGTAGAGCCTCTACCAGGAACACTGGAATCCCACATTGTGTGCTAGTCAACTTCTGCTCCAGCTCCCTGCTGATGCACCTGGGCAAGCAGCAGCAAATGGCCCAGGTGCTTGGGCTTTGCACCCAGCTGAGACGCCCAGAAGAAGTCCTGGCTTCCGCCATTTGGGGAATTAGCTAGTAGCTGGAAAACTCTCCTGTCTAATTGTTTTTAAAATTAAAAAAAAAATAACTCTTAAAAAAAAGATCTTTAGCTGACTATTTCTTGAGTTAAATCATAGAGAGAAACTCGCTAAAACTACCTGGAAGGGATCCTCAGCCACAGAATACTGATTCCGAAATCTTTAAAGGCGTAGCTTAAGTTTTTCCCAAGTGCTCCACATCAAAACAAAACAAAACAAAAATTAGTGTGGCCTCAAAATCTGTGGTTTTCTCACATTATTCTATTTTACCAAACTGATGTTTCAACATCTAATGTATCATTAAAAAAAAAAAAGCATAATAGAGTAGAAAAAATATGTGCTTTATTCAAAGATGGATGGAAATTACAGATCTCTGTTTCATTTCCTTGGATTATGCTTAGAATGGGATTTTGGTTACAAGCTCTGGCTTTTTTTTTTCCCTAATATGAGAAGATGATTAGCAAAGATTGGGCTTCCAAATTAATTTTATTCTGAAATCAGTATTATTTTTAGACACAAAATAATGACACTTTGAATCTGAATGGTGCCTAATCAGCTCACCTCCCTTCCCCCATTAAATCTAATTAACCCTCACAATAGCTTGGTGATGTTGTGAAATAGGATGCCTTTCTCTTTCAAGAAGGGAAAAGTGGAGCAGCGCTTTGCTGATATGCTGCCACGTCCTTCCTGGCCTCTCACAACTGCTGAAGCATGTAGTCCCCGGTGAGATCTGGTAAGCCAAGGTCACTTCATAACAGGAAAGGGAGAAAACAGACCCATTCTCAGTGACATGGAATTTATGTTCTTTCTCAGTCCGAGGCAAACTGTGCTACAGAAACTTCGTTGAACCTGGACCGGATGAGGGAGAGAGCTAGGGGGGCAGTGCACGCGCTTGTCCGTCCTGGAATCCAGGTGCCGGGCGTGATTCCCAGCGGCTACCTGTGAAAGAATGTGTTTTCTCTTCTTGCTCTTCCTGTTCCAGACCACTGGAGTCATGATGCCTTGTTCCTACATAATTCACAGCTTGTTATTTGGGTAGTGGGTTTAAACTGCTTTTATCTCTGAAGAAGTAAGCCATGAAAAACAAAAAAGGACTTTTACTACCAGCCTTGAGAAAATCCAATATTTATTTATTCCACAGCATTTATTTACAGTCTCAGGCACTATAAAAAAAAATCTTAGATTAGAAAGATAAATAAAACATTGTGTTCTCAAGGGACTAACTCTTTGAAAAGAGAGAGAGTGTGTGTGTGTGTGTGTGTGTGTGTGTGTGTGGTGGAAGGCATGCCTTTAAGACCTGCTGCTGTCAGTTGCTGCCTGGATGTGTATATTAATGGTGCACATCCATTCACGCATATATTGCTGGATTGACACATATATAATACAAAGTGGACAATGCTTTAAAAAAAAGATGTATTTTATTTTTATTGGAAAGTCAGATACACAGAGAGGAAGAGAGACAGAGAGAGAGGTCTTCCGTCCATTTATTCACTCCCCAAGAGGCCGTAACGGCTGGAGCCGAGCCTTGACTGGAGCCAGGAGCCAGGAACCTCATCTGGGTCTCCCATGGGAGTACAGGAACCCAAGGCTTTGCACCGTCGTTGACTGTTTTTCCAGGCCACAGGGAGAAACTGGATGGGAAGTGGGGCTCCTGGGATTAGAACTGGTGCTCATATGGGATCCCGGCACATGTGAGGCAAGGACCTTAGCCATTAGGCTACCGCATTGGGCCTGTGGACAATGCTTTAAAGAAATGCATTCTATGTTATCAACTCTGCTGAAAACCAGTTTTGAGAGTAAGTGTGTATGGAAAGATGAAAATAGGAAGGAAGTGGACAGTCAGATAATCCATTCCCAGACAAGAAAGCTTTTGAGTGAAAACCCTAGAATTAGTAGAAAGAGCAGAGTTGAACACGTGTTTCCCTTATATATTGAAATACACATAAAAAGACCTGGCGACATTTCTAAATTAACTGTAGTGGGAGCACATGTAGATTTGATAAGTGCACACTCTTTGGTCGTGAGTTAGCTCAAATGTCTGTAATACATACTGCTGGGAATCTTCCCTGACGTAAGTACCATTAAGTCATCAGGTTGGGAGAAGGGTCCATGAATCACCCAGCATCTTCTCAAAAGGGGGCGAACACTTGTTATTTCTTTGTGAACTATTGGCTTTGAACCTTCAGGAAGTCTGAGTACTCATGCTAGCAATGGGGAGAGGAAGGGAAAGCGATACTTGCTCTCCCAAAAATAGCAGTTGGGGTATGTTTATATAATTAGATGTCAAGTGCAGCTAACTTGGCTCTGGCCTCAATCACATACACAGAACACTGCACATGAGGCTTCGGAACCGTGACCTGGTGAGCCTAGGAGCTCCAGTTAACAAATAATGTTCACTAAGTAAAGTTTACTAAAAGGTATAAAGGCTTGATCTTACACATTTGAATTTTCATAGGTAATGCATGACCAGTGGGAGGTTCTAGAAGTCAATGGCTGTGCTTGAGCTTATCAGACCAGTGTTTTATCAAATAAAGATGGTTTCCATTTTTTTAAAGGACTTATTTGTTCCACTGGAAAAGCAGATTAACAGAGAGAAGGAGAGACAGAGATAGAAAGTCTTCCAGCTGCTGGCTCACTCCCCAGGTGGCTGCAGTAGCTAGAGCTGAGCAGATCCGAAGCTGGGAGCCAGGAGCCTTTTCTAGATCTTCAACATGGGTGCAAGGACCAAAGGATTTGAGCCATCCTCCACTGCTTTTCCAGGTCATAAGCAGGAAGCTGGGCTGGAAGTGGAGTACCTGGGACACAATCTGGCCTCTTTTATGGGATGCTGGCACCACAGGCTAGAGGATGAGCTTGTCGAGCCATGACTCAGGCCCTGAAAGTTAACAGTTTTAAGTAGTATTTTTCTTTGCATAGCACTGTTTTGAAAAGTGACATCTGTGGGGCTACGCTGTGGTGCTGCATGTTAAACCATGGCCTGTAACATGAATATCCACTCTGAGTGCTAGTTCAAGTCTCAGCTACACCATCCGCTCTCTGCTAATACACCTGTGAAAGCAGCAAAAGTTGACCCAAGTGCCATTTAAATTGGAGACAGAAATGGAATTTCAGATTCCTGGCTTCAGTTGGGGCCAGAATGGCCATTTCATGAGTAAACCAGCTCTCTAAACCTGTCTCTCCCTCTCTGCAAC